TTCTTTTATTCCATCGAAAATGACATCTCTACTAATCACGGTTCTCCTGTTTTCTACATCATACAACCTGTAGCCATTGGTAGAATAATACCCTACAAGTACCATTTTCTCTCATTTGTCATTAAGCTTTTTTCTAAGTTGATATGGAACATGTCGATATGCCACCGAACCAAACACTCTCAAGTGACTAATGTTCTTTATAAATTAATACCAAGACTCTTCCGGTGTGACATTTTCCAGCTTCTTTATGGAGCATATGTTCATTAAATAAGTGGTTGTGGAGATGACTTTTACCCAAAATTATTTCGGCAAGTTCTTTCCTTTTAGCATGCTCCTTAACATGTTCATGATAAAGAGATTCTTCCTTTTTGAAACACCGTTTTGCTGCGGTGTATAAGGCAGCACCACCTCATGTATAATGCCCTCTTGATCACAAAACTTCACAAAATCATTTGAGACATATTCAACTCCACCATCTGTTTGAGAACTTTGATTTTGTGACCGATTTGCCTTTTAACCACGGGCTTGAACTTCTTGAACACCTATAGTACCTCATATTTTATCTTGATTAGGCATGTCCATAGTTTTCTACTGTGATCATCAGTCCACACGCAGCCGAATACACCACCTCAAGATGACACTTGGTTCTATAATCTCTACCTCTGCTGACATTTCCTTATGCTGCTTCGCTTACACACCTTTTTCCTAAATTTCAATCGGTATGTTGATCAATGGCAGCCCCGTTACCATCTTGTTCTTTTGTAAGGCGTTGAGATCTCAGAAATTAAGATGCCCAAGCCTATAGTGCCATACCCACTCTTCTCTACTAGCCGCTGTAGCAAGACACCTATGTTCCATAATCGTCAATTCAACTTTGAAAGTTCTATTTGGATTCATATGAGCCTTTAGGACCAAAAATCTGTTTGTGTCCATAATGCACAACGCATTATTTTCCATATGAATCTTGTAACTTTTCTCAAGTAATTGGCCAATAGTTAGAAAGTTAAACTTGATTTTGGGAATATACAACACATATTTTATCATATAATGTTTACCATCCCTTCTCTCAATAGATACGTCACTGATCCCTTCCACCGCTAGAGTGATATCATCCGCAAATTTTACCTTGTTCTTCATAGCACAATTGATTGTGACAAACCAATATTTTCTTTCTATTATGTGTGTTGAACATTTGGAGTTCAAATATCATTGACTGCTGCATTGTAAAACCTATTTTATATCACCACATAATTTTCTTCTGCATGTAACCAGTTATAGTATATAGGTAACCAGTTACGACCTTCTCTACTAGCCCGGTTTAACATTTTACAATTGTCTTGTTATCTGCTACTGCTGCATTCTCCTTTAGTGATCACTATTAATAGTCTGTTGTCATCATCATACTCTTGTCTTGCAACTCTAGCTTCATCTTCTCGAGGTTCTTTCTTGTTTGCATTGTACTCTCTTGCAAAATAACCATATTTTTTTTTACAATTAAAGTATTGCACACTACTTTTTCCTCCTTTTTTATTTCCTCATCTTCCTCTAATGTTTCCACCTCTAGAGTTGTATAATCCATCATCTCTATTGCCACCACTTTCACCTTTTTAAAATGTTGAATTCTTGTAATTTTGGGATTCTATTCAGCGAAAATTCTTAAAGTTCTATCTACATTTGTTCATGGGCCACATTCCCTTCTTCTTGTCTTTTTCATTGAAACGGGCTTACAAAGCGGTCTTTGCCTTTGTCTTATCAACATTCCTTTTCTCCATTCTCAGATCATGAGCTTTAAGTGAGATTTATAGCTCCTTTTTTATCATTGTTGTGAGATCCTTCAATTCCTCAATCGCAACTACTACATTGTCAAATCTTGACGTCAAAGAACGCAAAATTTTGGCGACGACATATTTCTCTATGACTTTTTATCCACGCTCCTTTACATGGTTCACCAATCTTGTAATTCTTATAGTAAATTCCACAATGGTTTCCTTCTCCTCCATTTGAATTAATTCAAGCAACCTTTTTTGAGTTTGTAGCCTTACCACCTTTGCCTTATCAGCTCCTGTATAGTTTTTCTCCAAGATTTCTCAAGCTTCCATTGAGGATATAGAATCACCAACCTTCTCAAAATTATTGGCACCAACACATTGGTGAATGAGATAAAATGTCCTGTAATCTTTTGTCTTTTATTCCTTATGTGAGGTTCTTTATGCAACCATTACACCTTCTACGAGTGGACTAACATTATTATCGATCACACCAATAAGATCTTAGTAACTAAACAACACATACATTTGCTTGTACAACTTGTGGTAATTCTTCGCATTGAGAATTCAGAGATTCGTAGGGATACGTTCATTGGAGATGGAAAGCATTTTTGCACACTAAGTGTTTGATGGGTCAAACCAAGCTATTGATACTAAATGTTAGAACAAGGAATCACAAGAGTGGTGATTTATAATATGGAGAGAGAGAGAGAGAGAGAGAGAGAGAGAGAGAGAGAGAGAGAGAGAGAGAGAGAGAGAGAGAGAGAGAGAGAGAGAGAGAGAGAGAGAGAGAGAGGGGAGAGAGAGAGAGAGATTATTAAGTGTGAAAAATAGCTACCCATCATTAATGAGATATCCCAAGGGTATATATACAATTACATTGAGTGAGGGATAAGTAACAAACAAAAAATTAGAAAATCCTACAGTTGTAATCGATTACAGACATAATACAATCAGTTATTGAACGATTATGTTCCTACTGTAACCGATTACAAATAAGGTTTAACCGATTACGCCAACATTGTGATTCTTTCTTAAAGGGGGTGTAACGTGAAATACTTTTTTTTTCACTTAACAAATATTAATATTCCTAAGAGCATTAAATTATATGCCAAACACTTGAGCAATACCTTTATATCATATAAAACACCAGATACCCTTCTCCATTTCAACCACTCAGCTTGAATACAATGGTTTACATCCCCTTCTATTTCTCCATCATTTTGTATTAAGGATTCAAGATATTTAAACTGGGTGACATGAGGGATAATATGGTCTCCAAGTTTTACCTCTTAGTTAGAAAAACTTCTTATTTTATTGAACTTACATTCCATATACTCCGCCTTACTTCTGCTTATGCGAAAACCATGTGTTTCTAAAGCTCCTCTTCAAGTTTTCAATCTTTCATTTAAATCCTCCTTCGACTCTTCAAAAAGAACTATATTATATGCACAAAAAAAAAAAAAAAAAAAAACATGCATTTCGGTGCTAACTTTTGGATGTGTTTCGTGAGTACATTCAAAATTAAGGTAAAAAGGTAAGAGTTCAAAGTTGAACATTGATGTAAACCAATTGTAATGGAAAAATTGTTTATCTCTCTACCCTTTGTTCGCACATTGGTCGATATCTCTTCATACATATCTTAGATAGTTCGAATATATGCAATTCTAACTTATTTTTTTCTCTAAAACTATCTTTTAATTTTGATTTTAAATTAAATTATTTGTTAAACTATCTCTCTATCTTTAATGCATGAGTGCATTAAAAAAAAACAAACGGACTTAGACGTAATACAGTAGAGTAAATTTCTCATAACTTAATTTTTTCACTTAACACATCATATATAAGACAAACAAAATCTCGCCAAAAATATTGTCCTCCTTTATTTATTTATTTTTACTAATTTAGATAAATTGTTCAAGATAATTTAATTTGAAATTGAGGGAGTATTGCTTATCCTAATGGTAATTTAATTTGGAGAGAAAAAAGTCATAAACTAGTAAATGAAAATTACAAGTTCCAGGCTAAAATCAATTACTAAACAGAACTTGAGCTAAAAAGCACAAAAATGTAGAATTTGTTACAGCAAGAATTTCTATTTTTAATGCATTATGCAAAATTTTAAAGTTATTTTCTGTTCTTAAAAATTATCTTCGAAAGCACCTTTTATACATATTTTATTTGTTTTTAAATTAAATTTAGATTTTATACATAAATTTATTTTAAAAATATATTTCTGAAATTTTTTTTTAAATATATTTTTAAAATCTCTTAAAATTAGATAAAACTCGAACCTGACTAATTTTTTTTTCAAATATCATACTGTCCAACCACCATAATTAGCTTAAACCGTTATTGACAAAATAAAACAATAAAACAATGTGGTATACTTATTCCTTTGTAGAATTTATATATTTATTAAAAACATATAATAATGATCTACCAACAATAAATACATTTACATTAAAATATTACAATGTAATGTTAGTATATCTTTTCCTGATCTGTAGTGTAGTGTGGTTGGCCAATTTTAAAATATTTTAAAATTTTCAAAAAAATTTCAAAGATCTATAAATTTATTCATAAAATTTAAATTTAACTCAAACGAATAAAATGTGTATAAAAAATATGTTCGGAAAAATATCTCCAAAAATAGAGAATTTTTTTAAAAATTCAGGTGGTTAGAGGGTGCGTTAAGAAATTCTTTTGAAAAAAAATGTGATGGTAAAATGGCACAAAAGTGAGAAAAAACAATGAGTCCTACAGAGTACGGGTTCCCTTTTGTTGCCTACATTCTCTTCACTGTGCATTAGTCACTTTTCACATTGGCTTTCTACTGTTATGTACTCTTACTTGTATTTTGCCAATTTGCCACAGTGGAGTTTCTTTTGAAAACAGGTCCTGTGATGCTATGTTATTATTAAATGATCAACATTTTGAAATGAAACATGACAGTAAAAATTCACTTGCATGGCTTTTTTCAGAAAAAAAAATCAAATAATATGAACAATTTTTTTAATTATTAAATCAGAAATCTAGAAGAATAAAAACTCAACAAAGAACAATTTAATGCTTTTTCATAAGCTGGAAAAAAATTGAAGAAAACATAATTCCTTATTAAAAAGTTATCCAAGCATAACTGCAAGTCATTACTCACAAAAAGCTACACTACACATGACTTTATGGAAACCACAATTATGTGTATTTTTTTTTTCCTTCTTGAAACAAAATTGATTAGGTAGAGCAAGCTGATCGGCTATCAGGATTTGTAGGATACCGCTTAAACAGGGCCTCCAAACTCCAGATGCATGAAGGAGTCAAAGCCTGTATATCATATAAGAAGACACATAACCATTAAAATCAAGAGAAAAACAAATTCTACTCATAATGTAAAACTATCCTCATTAAAGCATGTAGATTAATTAGGTCTTTTCTAAATGATGCACGAAGCATGGACTGTTACGCAGAAGAAATAACACTGGAATAGAACCAAGCCCATACAGGTGGTGGTGATGGAAAATTAGAAAGATATAAAAATGAAGTTTTTCATACCTTCCAACGCTTCTTTTGAGCAAGATGATGGTTGATATTATCCAACCTCTTTATTATTTTGTTAAATGTTGGTCTTCTGTAGGGTTCTTCATCCCAACATTCCTCAATTAGCCTTTGAAAAGAAAAGAAAATTTCATGAATTTTTTAAAACTTATTCTTTTAACCAATTTGGCAATGTATGTTTTGAAACGTAACATTCAATCAAATATGCTGCCAATAAAACATATTTAAGCTACTTACTCTTTTAATCCATTAGCATAACACTTAGGTGATGCCCTAAACGGTGGCCTCTCATTTTCCACATATGCTTTAGGAACTTCATTTTCTGGCTTTCTATAAAATGGTGGACAACCTTCAATCATCTAGAGTAGCATAAAACCAATATGTTGCAGTCAATATTTCCGGTATCTCTATGAATAACAACCTACTGATGGTTGTCAACCTGTATATTCTATTCTATATATCTACATTAAAAGTGGGCTCTAATCATTACACAAATAAAATTATCCTAGCACAAACAGTATCAGCAAAAGTGTTAACATGAACACCATCTTTACATTACAAAAATTAGAAAGAACAAAAGAACCGGGAAAACTTTGAATGTCACATCAACGCTTAAAATTAATACATTATTTTGAAATCGTTAAATAAATTCTTTTAATGCTTAAAATATAAATCACAGAAAGGAAAATGAAAATGTGCAAATTCACTGTTAAAAAAGAGTAAATACAATTAATAGCTAATATGGGATACTCTAATTCCACGCTTCAGTGGAGTAAATAACAAGAGAGACTAAATTCACTTGAATGTAGAAATATGGAACACTCTATTTCCATGCTTCAGAAGAGTAAATGCAATTAACTGCTTCCTAAAGGTTTTTGTGTCAAGCTAAAAAGGAATCCTGTGGAATATTGAATTATCTTGTATTATGATTTTGTCAAATACCACAATAATCTATCTGAACCACGGATTCATCAAAGTTTTCTATTTTTATTTTATTTTATTTGAAAGGTTTAGAAGTTTAGAAGTTTTATTTTATCTATACCATGAATTAGCAGAAATTATGGTTTATGAGTTTTATATCAAGACCATAGAAGAAACAACCACTTAGATATTATAGGTAAATAATCAGCCTGGAAGTGATTAGAAAGCTCCGGAATATCAAAATATGCATGCACATGTGAGCAGTAATAGTTTAGATTTTTACCTCTTGTAATATCAAAGCAAAAGAAAATACATCCACTTTGGTGTCATATTCCTCATTTTTGTAAACCTCAGGGGCAACATACCGCCCTGTTATACATTTGAATTTGAACTAATTCATCAATAAGAGCTACACCTAAACAAAACTAAGTACAAACAACATAATCAAAATTAAGCAAATTATATGCATAAGAAATAAGAAAATTTGGAATTAATTGATGAATCTAAGTTAGAAAAATTGAAGCCAGATGACAAACTGTCTTTAGTAGTCGCTAGGTTAAAACATGTCTTTTCTTCTATCTTTTGTAGAATGTGCAATAATCTCATAGATGACAGTTTCGTGGAATAATGGTTTGCAATATTGTTTTTTTGCAGAATAACATGGTCAACTACTAATGTTACAAGACTACACAAAGCAAGAAAAGAAAACTTACATGATGTATCCTGGCATGTCACAGGTTTGTCTTCTTTGACTGTTTTAGTGATTTTGAGTGACTTGCTAACTCCAAAGTCTGCAACTTTCAGATGCCCAGAATCATCCCGGAGAATATTTCTGTTATCTTACTCGTTTACAATGAAGAAACTTTAAACAGTTTCTATCATCCAAAATTGGATGAATGATGCATGCTGCTAATAATCCATGATATTTCGCATGCATGAAGAATATTTAAATCAAATAGATGAGGCAGGAGAGAAAAAACATACGAAGGCTCAAGATCTCGGTGTATTATGGGATCAGGTTTATGTTCATGCAAATAGTTCATTCCCCTGCAAAATATACATTAAAATATTTCATATGTATAACAGATATCAATTTCAACTTGTATATCTTAATAGAAAGGATAATTTTGTTTAATAGTCAACTCATTAGAAACAAAATAACTAGGGAACTTGTTTCTTCCCTAATTCAAAATATGAAAGTTCCTGACTGACCTAGCAATATCAAGTGCAAACTTCACAACAACAGATGATTTTAATGCACCTTTGCGCTTTAAGTAGGCACGAAGATCCCCCTAAAAGGTGATAATCCATTTCAGATTGTTAGAAATTACATTTGTGAAAGATAGAAGTATAGCTAACCAGATAAAACAAAGTAAAAATATCTCCTAAATAGGGGAAATGCATATATAAAGAAATAGTCCACAATCTACATGTGTATCAATATTTTATTATGTATCCACTATCCATACATACACATGTATCTATTTGGGGTATCCATATCATATAATGCACTTTCCCTTATTTTCACCACAACAGTTATGAAGCGCAATGCTGAATAAAGAGAAACAGAACTCCCATTTTGACATCTAGTCCAATTTTGGGCAGATATTTCAAGAAACTACTAGGTAACAAACATCTGTTGACTATCATCAATACTTAAAATCCTTCATTAAAGATAGGCGTAACTTGATAGAACATGCCACCTTTGGTTGACCCATGCAAACAACTACAGCATCTCAACAATTATTCTAAGTCCAAGGAAAAATTCTGATATTAAGTTTTTAATTGAACATGATCTCCTACCCAGTGCTGGATTTCTAATTATCTTATTGAAATAACAGTTCTCACTATCTCTATAGACTATATGCAGGCAGTAATGAATTCTGATCATATTTTATTCTGCAGACAACATTCTTCTCAATGGTATCAACTAACCAGTAACCACCATAATGTGTTAATCAATACCATGAGCAACTACAAAAGATCACCAAAATCTTCTGTATACTCGGAGTAACATCATTACTAACCTGGGGTAGATATTCTGTGACAATCATCATTGGAGTGCTTTGTGTCACGGCACCCAAAAATTGAACAACATTTGGATGCCTTGCTTTCTGAAGTAATGTAAGCTCGTCGTGAAATGCCTTTCTGAGAGACACGGGAATCGAATAATCCAATTAATATGAATAAAACAACAGATTGTATAATTACTAATTAGACCAACTCACACTTTATCATCATCAGTGAATACTTCCTCCCCAAGAGTTTTAACAGCTACTTGAATTCCACCCCATAATGCACTCCGGAAAGTTCCCTAAAACATCCGATATAAAATATGCAATGCAAAGTGAGCAAGGGTGAAAGACAGATAGTAACTTGCAATAATATGTTTGGAGGTAGAAAAAAAGAATAAATTGAGAAATAAAACATCAAATTGAAAAACGATTGAAGAGGGAACTTAAAACTTAAAAGTATACCTTTGTTATGCAAACACTATTTGTAAAATCAAGTTCAGATGAATCAATCTCATATTCAGGGACTTCACGGGCATTCTGAACATGCATAGGAGCCTCCTACAAACAGTAAGAGAAGAGTTAGCAATGTGATGTTACAAGTTACAATTGTTGTCGAATAGCTCAAGTTGTTATGGCACTCAGACAAAAGGGCTCTTGCATGGGCAAATAAATCCCCCAATTACCTGACACTATACTCAAATTCAATTTTTTTAGAAAAACAGGAACACCTAGAAAGAGTTGGACATGCCTATTGCTTATTAAAGCTTATAGATGCTGATAGACAACTTATGAAAGAGACTTCTGAAAAATTGATACACAGAAGCTAATTTCAACTTATATAACATGTTGGCCTTTGAAAATCCAAGTTTATGCAAGAATCTTGTGAGAAGAGTGCTAGCAACACACACTCTCTCATTGATAGAAATTCAAAATAGCTCAGTGAAAGAAATAGAATAGTCAAAGTCAAAATGCAATTACCAATTACCATTATTGAATTATAGAAACATGAGGTTGAAGATGAAGTTCAAAGAGAATTCTAGAGTATTTGATGAACCGATGAAAAAAACTTGTAAATAGATAATAGCTCTGGCTATTTATATGGTAATGTGCTAACTGAATTTAGTTTATAGTTAGTTACACTAGATGCTGATTCAACACAGCAACTAAATCTACATAGAAATGAAACTGAATGAAACTAATTACATTTTGACTTTGACTATTTTTTTTAACTAATAAGTTTTACTATTTTGAAATCTTAACCCACTAATTTACGTGTATTCCATGTGAATTTGGCAGGACTAATGTAAATTGAACCGTGTGTATAGCAAATAGGACCCAAGAGAGTTTTGTTTGTGTGAACTGATATCTTTGCACGCAATTGTATAGACTAATCATTTGAACCAAACCAACGGGACCACACTGGACCACTAAAAAAGCTCAAACGTTAAAAGCATAACATGATAGGTAGCAATTTTTTAATAAACAACTTAAGAAAGAGCTTGTTGTATAAGTGCATATATAGCCATAATAAAAGATAATGTTCACACGTAGTCTTGCAAACACTCTCACAAGGGTTTATAAGCTCCAAGAGTCAATTTCAACCGACTCAAAATTAAAATGAAGATACAAACCGGGGGTTTTGCACCATGTTCCTCCAAAAGTTTGACAACATCATGATTTTTGTAGTACAACGCATCAGCAAGAGGCTGTTAAACAAACAAACAAACCAGTAATCAATTAGCATCACCAATACAATACAGTAACAGTGACATCAAAAAGTAAGAATATAAGCAAAAAACGATTGCATTGCATTGCATTACAGTGCTGCACCAACGATCTTGTGGATCAACTTCAGCACCTCTTTGAATCAACAACTGAACGACCTCGGTTCGGCCTTGACATGCGGCGATATGGAGAGCGGTGCGGCCGTCAATGTCTCTGAAATTGACGTCATAGCCGTCGTCTAAAAGCTCGTTGATTGCTTCAAAGTCACCTTCGTTCGCCAAATACATCAATGGAACCGTCGGATTCAACGCTACCGATTCTGGCACGTCGACGGCGCCGGAATCCTCACGGTCCGGTGCCCGAGAGGATTGTCTGACTAGAGAGAAGCGAGACTGAAGCTTATTGGTATCCATCGAAAACGCAAAGAATCAGAGAGATACCTGATTGCGGTGAAGTTTGTGTTAGGACTTTACCTACTACTACTACAAATGAAAATAATAATAATAATAATAATAATATAAAATAATAATAATATTAATAATAAAAATAATAATTTTCTAAAATAAAATAAAAAATAAATTTTCCTATTTACGATATAATTTAGTTTCCATGCTTTATCTAAAAAATTATTATAATATCAGTCATTTACAGCTATTTCTAGGTTAGGTGAATGAAATAAAGAGCTAAAAAAACAGGTAAAGATTCTGGTTTGTTTATTGAAGCAAGAGCATGAGATAAGAATAAAGAGCGATAGGAGAATGTTTTTTGGAAATGAAAAGTTCCATCGGTGGAATGGATAGGAATTGGATTCTAGTTTGGTGTTGTGTTGTTTTGTGTGTTAGTGTTAGGTACCGACTCTTGTTTTGTCTTCTCCTCAAGTGGCTTTTTCGGACACTACAAAATACAAATCTATACTATTTCCATGTAAAGGGGAATAGTGATCCCACGTAATAGTATTTTTCTTTCCACATTTTCTTAGATTGTGGGTCGTGCATGTTGATTCATTTCATCAAAATTTAAAATATGACATTTTATTTTCCTTACATCATGCATTAAAATGTGAGCCGTTCCATTTCTTTTTAATTGGATAGTTGGCATTATGCAGTGACAATAAATATACAGCTATATTAAAATTATTATTCTTAATTCTTAAATATAATTTTGAAATAATATTTTGACGAATGAGTTTAGAGGTGTTCGTGGGTCGATTTGGATCGATTTGATTTAGTTTTGAGAAAATTTGATGTTCGAATTAAAAAATTATGAATTGAATTTGTACATTTTTGTGATTAAACTCAAACCAAACCAAATTAATAAACAACATATTAATTTGTATTAGATTTATCGGATATATTAAAAATAAATGTGCAAAAATATTTTTGAAAAAAAAATCTAATTTACATTGACTAATTTTCTAAAATAATGTAAAAATTTTAATTTTCTTTATTTCTCCAATTGGTTGTGAATATCACAAATGACATTTCCTTTTTTTTGGAGTTGAATACCTTATTCAAGTTTTTATGATAATAATGATATTTATTATATTAAGGGAAATGCTAACGAGTGTCTCAAGAGGACTAGTTAAGAGATTTAAATGATAAGTTGAATATTATTTAAGAGATTAAAAAGACATATTTTTCTAAATATATGTATATTCAATGCACTAAAAAGAAAAATAATCAACTCTTTTAAAGAATATTGTGTGTATTGAATAAGACTGAAAATTAACCGAACCAACTCGAAAATAGTTTGGAACTGGATTCGACAATTAAATTGTTGAACTAGGTTCGTGAACCAAATGAGCTGAATATGAGCGCAAAATTAAGTTCGTTAACTAAATGAGCTGAATTTGAACTATACATAGTTTGACTTGTTAGGTTCAAGAGTCAAGTCGATTATATATGAGAATGATTATATTGTCTTTAAGAGTAGACTTAAAGATTTACTCCAAATCTTAATTCTATATTGTCCCTTCCGTACTAGTTATGACAATAAAGCTGACAGTTGCATTTAAAGTCATCCTTATTGTAAGCATTATGACATTTTCTAAAATAACATCTGTAATGAACATTGCAAATGGTGTAATCATTATGTGTCATACACCAATTGTGACCTTGAATATTTGAATCCATACAATTATCATAGCATCCGCATCATTTGCATAGCATGACATGCATTTCATCTTGCCCAAATTATCAGCCAAAATAAACCTGTTAGATTTACAGACCGACCGGTCAAACTAAATCTCAATTGTCCATAAAATCATTGGACGAAAAAAATTCAAAATCGAGCTCGCAGAGGTCAGTTATATTAATTTATGTTTTGTGTAGTTTAATCTGTCGTGCTCATTTTAATTTTTTTAACTACTTTTTCGATCGCATTTTGATCATTCTGAGCCATTTAACCATGAAAATTTTATTTTAAAATTTGACCAAACGCTGTATTTTTGCAACTTGTTTATTTCACGCTGATCATTTTGGTGCATTCATTTTATTTTTTCGAGCACTTCAATCTCAGACTGTTTATTCGTTTTTAACCAGTTTCATTTTAATTTTTAGTTAATAATCATTTATTTTAATTATGTTTAATTAGTTTAAGTTATTATTATTATTAATTCTTTTGCCTTTTTATAGTAATATATAATTTTTTTTATCTCTTTCAGTAACACTTGTTTGCTAAGTGTTAAAAAGTCCTTTTGTCTTTTTTTTCTTCATTTTAGTAACTTAGTATAGAATATTACATAGCATTACAAAGAGAACACAGGGGGACAGACACAAGACACGCAGGAGCCCCCTCCCCCCATTTTTCACGAAAATCCCCTCACTTTTTCATATACATTTCTCCTTCCTTTTTTTCACACAAAAATCTGCTACTGCACTAACCACATAACAAAGCTGCGTCGTGTCGCTACTACAAAAATAAGGTGCCGGCAAAACAGAAGAGTCGCCACCTTTCATTATTTATCCCACAGAAAGGGAAAGGAAACGATTGAAAAAACCTGACGAAAAGGTATAAGACAAGGTCATCGCAACCATGTCTACGTACTCTCAACAGGCTTGAGAGATCAGAGCTAACGCAGTTCGGGATAAAAGGGGGAACACAGGTTTGTTCAACTGTTTTTTATCCGAGTAGGGTTAACAAACAGTTCCAGCAGTTGGTGTATGCAGCTCGACCATTGGAGACTTAAGCGTTATCGTTTGCGGTAAAACTAAGAGTTAACGACACTCTTTTCTTCAGAAACGTTTTCCTTGAGTTACGGGCCCACGGGGCCAAAAAGGTTTGAAGTTTGTTTTCTGTCTTTTACGGAAGAAGTGTTTTTATATGGTTGTTTGTAGTTTGTACAACACTAGAGACTATGACTTAGGAGTGAATGCTTCACATATCGTCCAAAGGACATATACTAAACACTCTAGATGATTGAGAGGAAACCGCTTAATTATCATTTCCCAAGTAGCTTAAGGCTCGTAACGCGCTTGTACTAACTTGCCTTTATTACGTTTTTTTACTGTTGTTTTAAGATGAGGAGAGAACGAACTCTACGGGGAAACTGAAATCCTACTGTTATCATGCAAATTTGTCCTAATGGGTGAGGTTGCAACAGGGAACTCCTAATTGTTATCATGCATAGGTTTCAACCTAAAGTTCTAATCATCATTTCCTCATCAAAGGAAGTGAGACTCCTAGGGGATCATGTCAATGGTATATAGAAACAGCCAAAGCATCAGCTAAACAGATAAACAGAAGAAAATAGTAAAGATGCACATGCAATGCAGCAATACAAGCAGAGGGAGACCCACTCAACCTCTTAGCAGTCAAGCAAAGAAAACAGTCAAAACAGACAAGCAGAGAGAGACCCACTCAACCTCTATATGCAAATACATCAATTAGAAAAAGAAAAACAATACACAAGCAAGGGGAGGACCACCTCAACCCTTAAGGCAAACAAGCAGAGAGAGACTCACTCAACCTCTTAATGCAGTCATGCACCTACACTTAGACTATCCTAAACATGAACTATCCTAATGCAACACACCACTCAATCATGAATGAGGAAAAGGACTTATGACAAATAAGGAATTCATTCCACAAGTAAACAATCAAGGCTTCTATCTTAGGGAAAGAAATTGAAAGTTGGGAGGCAAGGGTAAGGTCCACAGGAACGTATCCCAGGCACTCAACCAACTAAAAGAGATTTGGGAGAATCCTAGAGGTTTGGCTCCTTCAAGAAATGTGCAAGATTCCCCCCACAGGAGGGACTATGCTACCCCAAGAAGGTTCCTAAAAAGGATTGAATAAGAGAATATTAGGAGAATGAAGATGGGAAGCAAGGTAAGGTCCACATGAACTTACCACAGGCACTCAACCAACTCCATTTCCTCAGGAAGCTTTCATAGACTCAACCCCTTTATGATAATGCAATGAATTCCTCCACAGGAGGAAACATGCTCACAAGGAGGATTCTAATTAAGCAAGGAAGATTGTGAGGTGAACTAACCCTATAGGAAGAATCATCCACCTAATTTGAATCTCTAAAGAACCTCAAATGTTTTAGCTCTAAAAGAAGTCATCTTAAGGGAACTTAATGGTATTCTAGAGACTTGAAAATAAACCTATATGGGTGTCAACCTAGGTACTAAGGGTCAATGGGAAGATTGGATGCTTAAAGTTGGCTAAAAGTTCAATTATTAGGCCAAACTAGGAGAAGGTGCAATCATGAATACACAAACTTTGGTCAGAAAGTAAAATATGGGAAAAATAGGAAATCAGGTCCTAAAATCTTGGTAAAATTCCTAAAGGATCTTAAATGTGTTAGGAGTCTATGGTTAAAGTTTCAGGTCTAAACTATGAGTCTAAGTATACTAACTAGAGGCTAAACCAAGATGTATGCTATGGGGAAATCAAATGGGGCTGGCTCTAAAGACCTATCTTAAAACCTATTCAAATGGAATCTAAAAAATTCAATAAAAATACTATACTATTCTACAATGCGTCAACATTTACCATATAAAAAATCAGAGGCTAATATTAATTATTGAAAGAGAAATAAAACCATAAAGCTCATCATGTAATTTCTCAACTATTAAAAACACATTAAAGTGGAAAATATACAATTAATTGAAAAATGCACTAAAACTGAAATTAAAAAATATGGAAAAATGCTAAATATATTAAACTACTCACATGATTTTTTTCAGGATTTTATGACAACAATTACTATTTTTTAGAATTAAAATGAAACAAGTATCAAAATAGAGAAATAATAGAAAAATAAATTTAAAAGAATAAAAGAGGGGTGTAATCAGTAACGGTTCTATGTTATATTCACATGTGGGCCACGAAGGGGGGTGGGATTAGTGTAACGAGATGCAAGGCCCAGCTGCTAAAACTCAGCACTTCTCTAGTGCAAAACACA